AATATTGTGACATAAAGAATTGTGCTATAGCAAAATCGACGTTCATTCCGAATTAAATAATAATAATTACTGTTGTCCAAACCGCAGCCGACCTTGGAACGGTTTAAAGCGTATTACCGTGTTAGATGATTTATTATCGTGTCAGTTGTGTGACTGTAGGGATTTCTCTATGTTACACGCATTATTTCGTACGTCCCGTGAGTGTAGAAAACAAATTAAATAATATTCATAAATTATAGTACGGAAAATGAAATAAACGAGCGCGGCTTTTGATGTAAGACAATTGTTTCGAAAAACATGTCTACGGTATGTGTATAGGTCTGCTGCACAACCATGCAACGGCGACTACAATGCGCATGCGTCGTGGTTGTCGAGCGGTGTATCTATCCGGTGGACAGAAGCAACAGGATCATATTTTACATATCGTTTATTTCATATGTAAATTAAAGAGGTTCTTTATTTTTTTTTTTTTTTTCATCTTCTTTTTCTCAGATGAATATTTAAACACCAGATAACATTACTTGATATTGTATACTATTATACGTAATATATATGTATTTAAACAGATACTATAATATATACGTATATATTGTACCGGCGTTTAAAATCCCATCAGCCCATTATCGTTGTATTGTTTTGAATCGATAAACGATGACGACAACTACATGAAACCCCCTAAGCATACACTTCCAGACAAACTTTCAGCCCACCTGGGAAGCAATACCTCACCACTTTTTCCGCGTCTGCGAAAAACTATTCGCAAGTTTCCCCTGTATAATTTCGAGATGACCTTCTACCCCTCCTTACTCTAATACCAGACTCGATCGTTTTCGTGGTCTATACCATACAACCCTTTTATATTTTATTTGTTTTCGTTTTTTTCTACTGTTTTATTTTTTTTTATTTTTTTATTTACCTTTATTTAGACGTCTCCATTCATCGCGCGAACACCTGTTACGGTTCCCAAACGCCAATAGTAACGACCATCACGCCGTGTATTCCCATCGACAATAGAACCATTCACACGCGGCCGATAAACGACGTCGCGTATACTTTGCATAAACCGACTTAATACGAGGGCGTCGCGAAAAAGGAGACGAGAGCAGATGTTCACGTCACCCGACAATTCCGCGGATCTTAAAAACGAAGAAATTACAACCGAATAGAAAATATTACAAACAACGCGCGAGCTCGTACGCACAATACATTTTCTCTCTTTTTCTCGTTCTCTGTTCTCTTTCACTAAATTCTGATTAATGAAAGTGCCGTTATGGTGAAGAGTTCAAAAGTTAAGTGCAATCCCGTTTTAGTACGATGCACGCGTGTACGTTTTCTGACCAATTCAATGAGACCCTAAATCGGATAAAAGGACGGAACGGTAATAGGGTAATGGCGAGGAGAGGGGGGTAGGGGAGTCGCAACGAAAGAGGATTTGAAATATGTTTGGCGGCGTTAACAAGGTCCCTTCTTCCAAATTAGACCACAGAAAACAACGGTCGATCGTAAATTTTAACCAACGTCGTTTTTTTTTCCCCCTGTTATCATTATTATTTCTTTTGCGCATTTAACCGAGAAAAAACCCCGTCTCACAGATAACTCTTTGTACGTACACGTCGTGAATTTTTGGTGATGTTTTTTTTTCTCTCTACCGTCCTTCCCCGCACCACCCCCACCAATACTTTTTATGATGTCCACATGGCCGGCACATGACGAGCTCGTTAAATGCATAAAACTCGTCCATAAATCGCACTGGGTCGGCCGCCGCCGCATGTATTATCATCGCCACCGAGATCTCTAACGAGTTTAATAATAAGTAACTTGATACGCGGCCTCTCGTGTAGGACGACCCGTGGTGACGTTTTTACGCAGGAAAACGGTCCATTTCAGTCAATCTTCCGTTAGATAAAAACACGTTGGCCTAAGGACGCGTATAAAACGGTGAGAAGCAACAGAAAAGTAGTAAAAAAAATTAAATTAAACCGCAACGCTATCGTGCCGTGACAATTAAACTTACGGTGTGCTGCAATTAGACGAAAAAAGATACGCGGTAATGAACATGTAATTATTATTCGATTGTACTCTTATAATACGTGTAGTGTTGTTGCTGTTGTTGTTGTCACTTGCGACCGTCATTGGAGACATGCTTTTGTAACGCTTTTAGTACAAATGAACCAGTAAATTTGAACCCTGATCATCTTTATTGTTATTATTATTATTATTATTATTATTATTATTATTATTGTAATAAAATAAATAGTAAATTGACTTGTCTTCAGAACAACGAAATTTTATGTTTTTATTTTATTTTTTTTTTTTCCATTTTTAAACGGTTACGTTGAATATTATGATGTATATATAATACATGTTAATGTAATGCGGTAAAAGTAATTTAACAATTCTATTTAGGACGGGCCTCCCGTAGAGTAATAAATTAGCGTGGAAAACGTACGAAAAATGATTAATCTCGAAACTACTTTCGAATTCGATTTTTGGGTCTGCTTTGGACAATTAGAAAAAAATACGCAGACAAATCGAATTTATCAAATTAATCTGTTGTATCAGTGTATGCCGCCCGTGTACAGAGAGTCGATTTCTAAATTGAAGAGAAAAAAGAAATAGATTCAAATGTATATCACCTCAAAGAAATGCCGAAAAAAAAATTCAATATAATATGTTGTTTATTTTAAATTTAAATAACTACACGTGTAAGCATTACGATTTGAAATGCGATACGGAAAATAAAGTATCACTTACGAATTCAAATCGAATGTTGATATCCTACAAAAATATTATCGTACAACGAGTTTGCATATTTATCTTTGTGGAAAGATTGTAGTTTAAATTTTTCATTGTACACGTGTATTATTTTTTTGTTTTTCATAACGCATTTTTTTCCTCAATAACGATTTCAAAAGTATTTTTTCAAATTTAAACTATGCTCCGAAAGCGAAAACTATATATATATATGTTTTTAATTTTTTTTTTATTATTCTCATCGCGAATTGTTCTCAGCAACCAAATAAAATGTTGGTCGGAAAGGGTTCCAAATACGTTTTTCCAAAACTATAAAATAGTCTGGAAATGATTGCGTTAAATCGGACAGTGGTGCGAACATGACGTTTTAAATCTTTTTTTTCAGACTAGTGGCGTTCGTAGATTTATCCATAAAGCTTGTTTTCGCAAATATCATTGAGAATGCACCCAAAGATGTATATTATATTATTGTAATAGCGTGCATGTATTTATTATTACATAAATAAATAAAACGTTTTAATTAAAATTTAATTTAATTTTAATTAAATGTATAAAATTTAAAAAAATTAACATAATAATATATCGGCCTACCTGTACGCGTCAACCGCGCTGACTAACGGTCTGGTGACGACCGAGAACCGAATGCTCCAGCACTGTGGGTGCCGACTGAAGAAGTTCGTGTTAAAAACGGACGGGGTTCGTTGTCGTTTTGTCTGTTACTGCTGTTGTTGCCTTTGGTCCGTGTCCGTTTGTCGACGATGTACAATTAAAATCGGTCACGTCACGAATCGCAACGCGAATGTTGTACGAATAATGATATCAATAATCCAATCATATATATATGTAACACATAATCTGAGCGACGTCAAATCTAAGGCGTATCATAATAGATAAACCGTAAGCCCCTAACTGGATCTTTGTAAGTATATCAGTTAATTATGTTAATGATGATACCATTATTTTAACCATCCGTTACGGTCTTCAGCGCTAGACGAACGTCGTCGGTCAACGAAAAAAATTACAGTGAACTTAATGCGAACGGATCGCTTCAAAGTCGACTTTTGGCGATATTTGCATAGCATCAGCTACGTCCGTCCGGAAAAATAAACATTCAACCTATACGGCAAATTCGTGCTGCGTTATGTTTGGTTAGTTTTTTTTTTTCAATACGCGCTCTTGCCACGTATCGTTTGATTTTATCAAAATAATCGTAGAAAAAATAACTGTATTGTAATAACCGCATAACGCGTCGTCATGTGCGATTATACAGAGACAGCGTTTCCAGGTGGGACTAGGAAAAAAAAAAAGGGTTAAGACCCTCTTTCGGTTTTCACTTTTTGCTCGAACATAATGCGCACAGGGGCTGATCCCCATTTACGTATGATACGTGACACACAAACGATGTATAGTGGCGGAGAGACTGAGAGAGAGAGAGAGCACAATAATATTTCGTCTAGTCGGCCGAACGAGCACTTCTGTTGACTGACAGCTTTTGCAAGCTGACCACGAGGTGGAAGGGGGGGGGGACAAAATCCATGTATTATTCATGCTCCCGTTTTTCTATATTATGTGATTTTCTCTCTCTCTTTCCCTCACTCGGTCAGTGTACACGATATTATAAAATATCATTTGATCCGTACAAAAGGTATACGGTGCAGCACAACATGTTGTGCGCGTTGCATATTGCGCCGAACAGCGACACGAAAAAAAATTAATAAATAACGTACATATATTATATTACATTACGGAGATCAAATATATGTGATGGGAATGAAAAAATGAATAAAACAAAAAACAGTTGTTTTTTTTTTCAAAATAAAAAATAAATTATTTATTTTCAACGTAGTACAATATACACGTCTATACATATTAATATCATTACATAATAAAATGGGATGTACACGAATATATACATATAATACCTTAATCAAATAATAATAAAATAGATTCGAAGTTAACAATATATATATAAAAAAAAAATTAAATAAAAAAAAAAAATTGTGGTTAATTAAAAATATCATACAGTCTTCGTTCAAGTAGTGAAACAAAATTTACTATTTTCCTCTATTTCGTTAATGACTTTTTTTTTCAACATCGAACACTAACGAATATAACGGTTGCAATCGGTTAAGTACCCTGTCACTACACTCGAACAGAATAGTTAAAAACCTCATGGAGTGCGAAATTCGAAAATATAGTTTTCCAAATTGTATTCGAAAACATATTATATATATTTTTTTTTTTAATTGATTTTTTTTTACTGATAAATTGTTATTTATTTTTTCCAAGAAGAAAACGCGTCGGAGTTAGGTGTCTGTTGTCAAGTATAGTTCACATATTCATCCGGGTCTACATGGAAATTAAATTATTATTCGCCGGAAAGTATTACATAAAAGGTGTGTATAATAATATGTATAGTTTTTTTATTTATCTTATTTTTATTATCCTTGTTTTGTATACGTTATTATATTAAAAAAAAAAAAAAAATAGTAGTTTTATATTGTCTCTCCAAATAAAAAGCCGAATCCATTTCAGATAACGCGGCGGCAGTACTAAGTGGTAATCCGTGTACTAAATAAAAGAAATACATATATATGTATATACATTTTATTTTTTTTTGTTTCATTCTCTTTAGTTTCTTCTCCGTCTTTCGTACGAAAGCGCACTCGGACACGTCGGAATAATAACAGAATAAACGCTCTAGGAGAGTGTAGTAATAAGGAGAAATATAATAAAATACACGAGAGCCTAGAACCGGTATTATTATTATTATTATTACGATATATGAAGAGAGAAAAAAAACACTAACACCCACAGAGGTTTTTAATTATCCCACATCATACGTCATAAATTCAAAATAATATTTTACGTCACGTGAAAATAAAATGGAATAATATAAAGCACGATGTACGTAATTTCGGTACAGAAAACAATCAAGAAGGGTGGGGGATCAAACAACAGTGATACGAAGACTAAATCAGTCTGGGTCTCGAATCGAGACTAACACGTAATTATTAATATTTAATATTTTTTTTTTTGTTTTTATGAATTTAACACACAAAATTTGGTTGCTCAAAAACGTTTTTTTTTTTTTTTGAGCTGACTAGAAAAATGGCGTTAGATTCTCAATAGTTAGTACGAACCGTTTTTTTTTTTTCACAACAATCATAATATTTAAAAACCCGCCTTAAATCACATTTACAATATAAACGGCGGACACAGCCCCGTCGTAGAGTTACAAACATATATAATAATAATAATAGAAAAAAAAAATACAAGAAAGTTTCAAAGGGAATTAACCGCAGTGCATGTTCCGACGAACGTACACTTAGGAACTCAATTAATCTATAAATTATACAAAGTCGTGCTTAAAACAACATTATCACATATTGATGAGCACACGTATTATTCAGCATTTTTTTTTTTTTTTCGAAAAAAAATTTAAAACAACAAAATCTAACGAAATTCAATAGTATATTGTATAACCTATACGTAATAATATAATATGTCGATGACACTGACCTGTTGGCGTACGAACCTCGCACGAACTCATATTTTATATATTTATATTTTTTTTTTCCCGAGGGGTTAAAAAAATATGAATTAAATATGTCGCGTTAGACCAGATAAGCCTGCACGGCGTTCTGGTGCTGTTGCTGATGGTGTTTTGCCGACCTGCGGCTGTTGGTGCGCTCGAACTGTTGCTGTTGCTGTTGCTGCTGTTGCTGTTGCTGCTGCTGCTGATGTTGCTGCTGCTGCTGGTGCTGCTGCTGTTGGTGCTGCAGCGGCATCATCATCCTGCTCGGCGACTGGTGCACCGACGGCGGCGGCGTGTCGATGGCCGAGTAAATGTGCTCGGTGGACGCGGGCCGCTCATCGCAGTTGCCGAGTTTCGGTGACGGCGTGGCCGTGGTGGCCGTCGAGTAGTTGGAGTCCTCGTGCCGGTGCTGCGGCCGCGGCAACGACCCCGGGCTGTGATGGTGATGGTGCCGGTGGTGGTGCGCGGCGGGCTGCGGCAACGACTTATCGTGCGGCGATGGTTGCCTGCGGTGCGCGGGCACCACGGGCGTCCTAGTGTCGATGGTGTAGTTGTTGATGTTGTTGCGGTAGTTGCACACCTTGTGGTGGTGATGGTTGTTGTTGTGATGGCTGTTGCTGGGCATCAGGTACCGGAGACGTTCCCAGAACCGTTTCTCACCCCAACGCACTTTGGACGCCACTTTCAGGTACGGCCGGATCTCCGGGTCCGCGTCCGCCTCGGCCGCGATGCTGTTCTCCTCGATCAGTACCAGTTTGTACACCTTGCCCTTGAGCGCCTCATGTAGCGCGGACCGGAACTCGTACCGCGACCATTCGGTCTGTATGAAGTTTCGCGATAGGACGACGATCACGCGGCGGCTGGCCTCGGCGGCCTCGATGACCACGGGCGACGAGCCCGCGTGGTACATGGACGTGATGGGCAGATCGCGGTAGTGCAGGCACAGCTGGTACGACGGGTTGCCGTGCTCGAGCTCGGCCACCACGGACTGCAGCACGAACTCCTCGTCCTTGGGGCTGTACAGAACGTAGCCGTCGTACAGCTTCTCGCGGTCCTCGTAGAAGTGCTTGTTGCCCGCGTTCTTGCAGCTGAAAACGCGTATCCCGTACTTGGTGTACAGCCACACCTTGACGTTGTCCCGGACAGCGAACAGCACCAGTGCCACCACGAACACTACCAACAGGAACGTGAGCACCGGCACGTAGCTGGACGCCATCATGTTCCGCAGCGCCCAGCCGCCGGTGTAGAAGTCATTGCACGCCGTGTCGTTGAAGTCGATCTCACGCCGCTGTCCCGGGTCCGTGTCGTCCGGCGCGCACGTAATGTCGGCCACGTCCGTGATCTTCGGCCCGTTTTCGTACACCCAGTTGCGGAACGGTTGCAGGAACTTGCACCGGCACGTCCACGGGTTCTTGCCCACGGATAGTTGCACCAGATACGGGTTGACGGACAGTTGCCATACCGGGAACCCGGTGAGCAGGTTCCCGTGCAGCCGGAGCACCTCGAGGTTGCGCAGCGCCGCGAACGTCACGTTGTTCACGTACGACAGTCGGTTGTTCTGCAAGTGCAACTGCCTGAGCTGGTACAGCTGCTCGAACTCGTAGCCCTTCAGCTCGGTAAGCATGTTGTCCTCTAGGTGGAGCACCTGCAACGAGCTGAGCCGGTTGAACGTGTGGTTCTGCAACGACTCGATCTTCGAGTTGTTCAGATACAAATGCACCATGTTCTTGCGGCCGATGAATATGTGGCCCTGCAGCTGATTGAAATTGTTCCCATCCAGGTACACGTGCGTGGCGTCCATGGGGATCTTCGGCGGCACCATGTTGTTCAGCTGGTACGAACAGTCCACGATGTTCGTGTGCCACGTCTGATCGTGGTAGCACGTGCAATTGCTGGGGCACGTCATCTCGCAGTCGCAAGCGTCGAACTCGCAACACTTGCACACCGCGAAGCAGTGCGTCTCGTATTTGCACAGGAACTGCGACGGCCCAGCCGACAGTATCGGCATCACCTCCGAGCCCCTCGAGTCCGTCGTCTTGCACACCACGTTATCCAGGTCCATCACTTTGGGATGCTGCCGCAGTTGCGTCATGTTATTGATCGTGGGCAGCCAGTCCATGGAACAGTCGCATTCGAACGGGTTGCCGCCGATGTAGAACTCCGGTAACGAACGGTTGATGGGCACCACGCCCAGTCGCAGGCTGTTCACGTCCAGCCGGGTCAGCTCGTTGGCATAAAGGTCCACGCGTACTAGATTTCTCTTTTTCAAAAACGTGTTGGGCCTAATGTTCGACAGGAAATTGTTGTTGAGGAACAGCACCTCGACGCTGTTCGGTATCGACCGGTCCGAGATTTCGGTGATGTGATTGTGACTGGCGTCGATCGTGTTGATGTTCAGTCGGTCCTTGAGGTTGTAGTAGTCGCCCAGTTCCTGCACGTAATTGTCATGCAAGTCCAGCCACTTGAGGTTGGCCGGCACCATCGCGTAATCGAACCATATCAGATTGTTTTTCGACAGGTTTATCCACTGCAAACTGGACAGCGACTCGAAAACGCCGTTGACGTCGGTCAAATAATTGGCGTCCAACCGGATCGCTTGGATCTGGGCGTTTTGCGTGAATGTACCGCGTTCGATGGTGTAGATTTTGTTTTTCGACAAGTTCAGCACTTGCAGGTTGGGCAGGTTGGAGAACATGCCGATGGTCAGGTTTCCGATGGCGTTATCGACTAGCCGCAGCCCGGTCAGCAGTTCCATGTTCTTGAACGAATTGTTGTGGAACACGCTTATCTGATTCTCACCCAGGTCCAACGTTTTCAGGAACGACAACTCGTTGAGCGCGACCGGCACCTGTTGAATGGCGTTCGAGCTGAGGTCGAGTTCCTTGAGCGCGGAGCAGTTCTTGAACGCCTGGTCGTCGATCGTGACCAACAGGTTGTTGTTGATTGTGAGCTTGGACAGCACGAACAAGCCGTTGAAGAGCCGCGAGCCGATCGTGTGCAAACGGTTCTCCGCGAGGTTGAGCGTGTGTAAGTTGTACAACGGCAGGAACGCGTTCTCCTCTATGCTGCTGATGCTGTTGTTGCTCAGGTCCAAAATTTGCAGGAACACTAGGTCCTTGAAACAATTCGCTTTGATCCTGGTGAGCCCGTTGCGGGACAGGTCAAGCACGACCAGTCGGAGGAGGCCGACGAAAGGACCCTCGTCGATCTGATTGATCTTATTGTTGCTCAGGTTGATGATGACCATTTGCTCTAGCCGATGGAACAGTCCACGCGGTAGCTCGTACAGCCCGTTGTTCTGCAGGTACACCTCGCGCAGGTCACGGTTCTTGGCGAACAACGACTCGGGCAGCGCTTCGAGCTTATTGTACGACGCGTTAAATACCTTGAGCGATGCGAGCGTGGACAGGCTGTCGGCCGCGATTTCAGTCACGCCGTTATGCTGTAGCGCGAGCGTATGCAGCCGCTTCATGGCGGATATTGCGGTGCGCGCGGGCACCGACTGCAAGTTGTTCCATGACAGGTCGAGCACTCGGAGGTCGGTGCCGCCGGGGCAGTCGGGCCCGGAGAAGCCGAGCGTGGTCAGGTCGTCGATGCCGTTGTGCGACACGTTCAGCTGCTGGATGTTCTTTAGCGCGCAGAACGCGTCGGCCGGCACGGTGTGCACGTTGGACTCGGACAGGTCGAGCGACTGGAGCTCGACCAGCCGGTCCATGCTGCCCTGGGCCAGTTCCAGCGCCTTGGTCGCACCCCATTCCAGGTTGGACGTGTGCACGGCGAGCTTCTTCAGGCCGCCCAGCCCGTCGAACGCGTCCGTCGGTACCTCCAGCAGTTTACACCGGACCAGCGCCAGCTCCTCGAGCTGATGCAGCGTCCGGAACGTGCGCGGCGCTAGCGTGCTCTGGAAGAACAGTTTGTCACTGCACTCCACCGTCAGTCGGACCGTGCCCTCGGGCTGCACCGTCGACAGGCTCGGGCTGTCCACGCCCAGGGTCCGGACTCGGCAATGCACCGATGACTTGGCCGTGTCGTTGTTGTACGGCGACCACGTACACTGTTCCGCGCCACCGTCGAGTTTGGCGACCGCCGCGGCGCACATCGCGGCCACCAAAAACAATTTCAATTTCAAAAACATTATCTATTTTTTATTTATATTTTTTCGATTAATTTCCGACACGCTCCGTCGTCGGACGGAGAAGGGTGATGAATTTTTTTTGAAACGCGATGTTATTTATTTCAAAAAAAGACGACGTCGTGCGTTCGTCAGAAAACCGAACGGTTCGCGTACGACCCCGTCGGTCGGCCGGTCGACATAATCGCAATCGGAACCGATGTGTTATTATTATTAATTTTTCTACGAGAATATTCAGACGAACGAATATTAATATTGTAGATTACGAACGCACTGAAAACATAAGGAAAAAAAAAAAAGAGAGAAAAGAAAAACGGAAAAAAAAAAAAAAAATACGAAAAAACGGAATAAAAATAAAAACTCTAAAACACTTGGGACGTCCGCGCGCGCGAACACTTTCACATAGTAGTGGTAGTATAAACCCGTAATCCGAACGGATGCGCGGTCGAACTGTCGGCAACGGGTTCACGGCGGAGACTGAACGCGACGGGCACGGCCGCACTGGCCCGTGTACCGGGAGGTCCGCGCGTTGCGCCCGTCCGCCGTCAGGTAGCAGCACGTCACGGCGACCGGCTGCGGTCCGCGGCGGCCGGTCGCACCCCTCCACGGGTTTCGGTTGCTCTGTGATCATCCCGCCGTACGGTAGTCGGACCGTCGTTTTTCGTCCGATCGTTTTTTTTTTGTTTCCTTATTTTCCTCGTACCGTACGTGTACGTGCAACGTTCACACCGTCTTGCACGCGCACGAACCAACACGATTTCGTTGTGGATTACGCGTTCTCGTGTTCTTCCGTTTTCCTATTCCCGAATCACCCTCCCCTGAATCCGTGTTTAAGGGTACGATCATATGCGATATGCGCATTACAATTGTTTTCAATGTGGATCATTTTACAACGAAATCAAATTACGCGTGGCTGTGAACACTGAACCGGGCTCTTCGTCTCGGATCCATACTTAGTGAGAAATCAAATAAAACACAAGCGTTAATTTCACAACACAGACAGGTGTTGAAAAAGAACTACACAAAAGTCGATTCTAAGTGGATCTGGCATCAGATTAGAAAAAAAAAAAAAAAAAAACCAAAATCGTCAAGGATTCACCCGATTTAAATATTACCAAAAATTTTACTTGTACGTTTTGAGCCTGAATTAAAGAAAAAAATTGAGTCGCCCCCCCCCCCCCCCCCCCCCCCCTCTAGAAGTAAGACTAAATACGTGTCCCTGGCTGGTAGATTATAGACACGAATGGCAGTGCTCTCTTTCGCTGGTTTTCCCTTCGTTCTTCAATCGATTTCGTCGTATTGGACGTCGAACGAACTCTCCCGTCCGACACGACCATGATTTTCGTCCCGACAAGTCGGAAAACGCGTACGCGACGTATATCTGTGTTCGCAGCACCGGTTGATTTCGCCATCCCGTTAGCTCGTTTACTCCGGCGTGGTTCTTGAAAAACACAATTCTGACCATGGTCATCGCGTCCAACAGTTTACGAACAATTGATTCTAAAGCTTCAATTCAACGCGCGTCGACGTTCCGAAAACGGTTTATAATTAAATATTAAACTTATTATTATGTGACTGCTACAGATCAAACGATGAGAACAACGTGCGTTGTTAAGCGAACGGTCTGTCGTGAGAACCGTTTCAGACGTTCGATTCGTTATTTAAGAATAAAATATTGGAATCATCGTAGTAAACCGACATTGATTTTGCACGAAGAAGGATTATGTTTCGGTAGAATCACCAAAATACATCGTACGCAGTAACGTTTAATTGAGTTTCCCCCGGGTGGTTATGGTCTTGTATTTGAACGTCCGACGGAGTTGAGCCGTTTGTAAGTCGAAAATCCTTTACGATAATAATTGTCCCGATGGCCGCACAACAAAAGAACGCGTTTCTCTGAAACATAAGACGTTTTTGTGCGGTCGTCAGCTGTCCTTGCGCACCGATGCCAATTAAAGGACAGAGCAATAATTGTTGTACTGATGCGTTAGGAGGTTCCTTCGCACAATTGTTTTTTCTATTTCAATACCGATATATTTTCAAATTGAATCGCTCACATTATTTTGTTCGTTCGTTGTGCCTATAGAGGCAACGATCAATTATTGACGCAAATATTATCGTGTCACAATATTAATCGTACGGTAGAACGTGCAGCGTTATCTACCAGACTAATTCCGCAACGCATTATGAGTTTAAACATTTCTGAATAATTGACTCAATTGTAGTACAATACCCAATTTATCTAATTTACATACTAAGGTATTGATTTTTTCCACCGTTGTAAATAAATTAAAGCTACTTATACGTGTGAAATATTATTCGATAATAATGGCCATGTATTGTGGCGGCCATAATTAACCACTAATAATAAAAATCATTTTTTTTTTTTTATAATTACAGTAATATATTTTAATGAAACAGGTTTACAAAATTATTTTTCGATATTAGGTGTCATATATTGAATACATTTTTGGTAATAAAACAACGAATTTCAGATTAATTCATCAAGCCTGATTTTAATAATCAATATCATTTTTTTTCACACATCAAGTGATACTCACAACTGTTAATCCGTAAACAAATACAAATATAAAATAAAATTATATAATGTAAATATTTTTTCTACAAATTGCCTAATTATTTAAAAAATGTGAAAATAAAAAAGGTTATCCGAACGAAAAACGAAAATATTTTTAAAACTGTAACCTTTCTCTGAAATAGTATTGTTAAAATAAAATATTTGTTACGTACAAAACGTAGATATGTATACTTTACTAACCATAGTATTTTAAAATACACAATTATACATATTCATATTATTCTTGATTTTAAAATGTTATTCCAAAAAACCATTTAAAAGAAATGTCGAAAAAAAAAATACAAGATCCAATTATATTTAATCGGTATTAATTTCAAGATTCTAATTTTCCATAAATCATTTTACTGGTATTATAACAAACTACCTACACAATTATACCTAGAATTTTATACTTTTATCTTTACACTCACTTTATTATTCGACTGAAATAATAATTTTATATGATGTCAATGTACAATTTCAAAAGATTTTTCGCCACACGCGAAAACATAATCCCCGAAATTGGTATAAACTAGTATTCATAGAATGGCTTTGAATATAAATACACACACACACACACTCTCGTGCGCGTACATACTCACGTAAATGTCTAAATATAATAATCAATAGCAGTAGGTTTTCTAGATAATCATTTATTTCACTTAAAAAAAAAATCATTCGATTTTTTAAACATATTTGTATTCGTAACGTTAAGCGGTTATGCATCCTACGTATCCGACCATATCCTAGTGCGTAGGTGACAGCCTTTACGAATTTCTCATGAAATTTTCCAATCCGTAAACCTGCGGATAAGTACGTTCATAATTATGGAATTACCACGCCGATAATTTTTAAATATGTTACGCTCAATATCAACAAACAGTCAATTAATCATGTCGTTTAAAACGCCTCGCAGTCAATACGCGTTGCTAACGGGAATCTTATTAGTTGTTTAAAAATCGGAATGCGATTTTTCAGATACCAAATGTGTGTAATTTTCATTATTTGCATACTTATATTATCGTACAAGAGTATAAACAAACGGATTTTATAAAACACTTAACGTACCCATAAATCATTACGTCGATAATAAATATTGTTTATTAATACCGCGTGTTGGACGGTATTTATTAGGCTAATTAATATATGTTAATCGCATCGTGTTCTTTTTAAATTTTATGATTTCCCCCCCCCCCTCGTTAAACCATCGAATATTGTATAAAACGTTTTAAAATATCGCGTTAAATGTTTAAAGTAAAATAAATATAAAAACTCTGAAGATAAGCAATATATTTCATGTGTCGACAATAAATGATTGTTCGATTTTATTAAATATATATATATATTTATATATATATATATTATTTAGTGTTATTATAGAGAGAGAGACTGTTTATATGATGGGCGAAAGAATTTTCGGGGTGTAGTATCTCTGGCGTTGGGTTAAAATGATTTATATTGTGTTCTGCGGTAAAACCGAACGGCGAGAACAATTTCGGCCGTATACCGTTAACGGCACATTACCGGGTTTCTGAACGCTCGCGTATTGTGTACGGCCTCCTATACGAGGTATATTTTATAATGTATTATTGTATACATGTATGTGCGCAGGTCAAACGCGCGCGCACTGCTGCGCGCACAATGAAAACATTGGAAATCATCGAAAAGGACGGGTTTATTTTTATATTATTATTGCTTCTATTACTCGTACATATATACATTTATATATATATATATTTTCCGGTCGACCGAACCGCAGGGATAGTTTCGATGAACACCCGCCGAACCCGCGTGCGGCACGGTGCACGTTATACGCGTAGGTAGCTTAAGCGTACGCGCATTTATACAAACGTCGTGCACGTTATTTTATTGTTGTCTCGGTCAGACAGAGAATTGAATGTCAAAAATTAAAATCGTTTTGTACGCGGGCGCGAGAGAGAGAGAGTGAGAGAGAGCGCGCGTGAGAGAGACGACGGAGGAATTTTACGTACGAAATCTTTTCTGAAAACACGGGTCACCGGTGCGTCGACGGCCTGCGGTTTTATGCCGACCGTGTCACATGCTGCGGCCCGGCTATCTGGTCCGAAATCTTTACAATCGTTTAGAAACCTCATCTTGTGCGCCGCGCGTGCGTGCGTGCTTGTCGTCGGAAGACCTAACCTGTGGCCAGGATGGGAGGAACGAGTTTTCGTGGCCGCCGGCTAACAAAGTCCGTAAAGACGCGCGGCGGCGGAGAGAGTTTCGGGCTGCTCGTGCGCGTCTTGTGTTCCGCCGCCGCCGCCGCGATGGAATTACAAGACGGCTGTGTAATAATATAATGAGTGTTACCGCGCCGTACACGTATATATGTATATGCCCTGCGCACATATAACTATAGGACGCGGTCACGTGGGAGGTGGCCGAAGTGGTGGTAATAGCGTATTATATACCTGGTAGTATATGGTACACGGTGCACGTTGGTGACCGGTACGAAACAGTGGACGCGCGGGGAGGGAGTGTAGAGCTTAAGAAGAAAGAAGTAATACGGAGAGAGAGAGAGAGAGAGAGAGAGAGCAACAACTATGCGTGTAGACCCCTTTTGAACTCGCGCGCGATAAATCTGAAGATGTGATCCTGTCGAACCTTTGCCCATAAATCATATTATTCTACGCGCCGGTCCTGTCAGGACCAGCGCGCGCGCGCCGGACAACTACTATATATAATAAAATAATACGTGTATACTTCCTAGTACATACAAAACTCTCTAACGCACCTTGTCGCTGGTACATAATGTATTTCTTAGTGCGACGAGTGTAATATGCGCGAACAAAAAAAAAAAAAAAATAAATAAATAAAACGGATACTTTTATTTTTCTACCCGGAATTCCTCGATCGTTTAAAGGAGCACATGCGTAACAGACGTCGCACTAG